CTCCCAGTGAAGTAGGTCCTAAACTACTTTTCATTCCCCATTACTGCAGAACCCTACCCAGTGCATGGGACATAATATGACTTTAATAATGAATTCTGAGTGAATCTGTAACCTCTTCCCCACAAAGCTTAGGATAGTAATATACATTTACTAGATATTCTGTCTGTGACTAGGCATGACATAGTAATCAAGACCAAGCTTCACTGTTTAGCTGGATTTTTTTGACCTCTGAGGTTCTTAAAGTCCATCAATTCAAGTAGTCATATTTTGTTGGCAATAGAAGTCTAAGATATATTAGGAAATAGCAGTCTTTGTAGATAACATTTACTAATTGCAAATAACAAACCAGGAAAACCAACTGTTGAGGTAATCAAATTCTGTAACACCTAAGAAGGAGTAAATCAAATGACTTTCTCAAAAAGAACAAGGTGAATGCTGAAGAATCGTTGCTGCTTCTGATGGCAATGACTTTTTTTTTTTTTTTTTTTTGAGACAGAGTCTTAGTATGTCACCCTTGGTAGAGTGCTGTTGTGTCACAGCTCACAGCAACCTCAAACTCTTGGGCTTAAGGGATTCCCTTGCCTCAGCCTCCCAAGTAGCTGGGACTATAAGCACCCACTACAATGCCCAGCTATTTTTTGTTGCAGTCTGTCATTGTTGGTTAGCTGGCCCTGGCCGGGTTTGAACCTGCCACCTTCAGTGTATGTCGCTGGTGCCGTAACCACTGTGCTATGGGTGCCGAGCTGGCAGTGACTATTAACATTATAGCACTTCTATGCGCCATACACTGTAATAATCATTGCACATGCATTAATCATTTAATACTCAAAATAATCCTGAGGTAGGCACTATTATTATCCTATTCACACATAAAGAAACTGGTATATGGAGAGGTTAATTCCATGCCTACACAGCCAATGAATGATAGATCTGGAATGGGCACCTAGGCAGTTTAACTCTAGAGTCTATGCTCTGAACCTTTATACTAAATTGAACATCTTGGTTTCCATATGTGTATATAGTCAGGAGTCCCCAAATTGACAGAAATGAGCTTTGAATTACTTTTTTAGCAGTTGACCTATCCTTCTTGTCAACAAAACCTGGAAAAATCAAACAGCTATAATAAAGCAGATATGTTCCTTTAGCACAGCTGACACACCCTCAGCCATATTAAAATGATATGAGTTAATCCACTGAAATGGTGAGAGTTAATATATCTTTAAAAAAGATTTAAAACTAAGATTCCTAATGCTACTACAAATCTAAGCTTAGAAAACTTAAAAATCAAGCACTTGTCATCCTGACATAATATTGAGAAACAGGATCAGGTGGGCAAATAGCTTTTCTGTTTTGTCTGTTTCAAGAACAGTTACTTAAACACTTATTTTTGCAAGAAACAAAGTAAAATGAAAAATGTTTGTAGATTTCCAATTTTAAGTATAGGGTGTCTATTTAGACTATTTTCTCATTATAATTACTCTGGATAATGACAAAAGAAAAAAGAGTTTATGGTTGTTTGTAGCCTTAATCCTCTATTTCCCATTGCTAATCTCCACTGAAACAGGATACTCCTTTCTTAATCAAATAGCACTTTTTTTTGAAGCCATATTTGCATAAACATATTGTTTATCTGTATCCTTTCTCAAGGCTATTGCTGTATGTGGATGAGCAGAGAAAAAATGGAGTTAAAACAAAGGAAATGTGCAGTTCTACTAACTTAGCTTTTTTCATGAATTACATCTGGTTTTAAAAGTAAAAATAAAATTTTAATAAAAAACACAAGGACAATAATACATTTACCTTTTCCAGACACATCATGCAAATCATATTTGAAATAGTTCTATATTTTAATTTAGTATATCATACATACTTTGAAACCCTGAATAGGAATATTTAAAAAATATTTTTTTCTTTCTCCTTTTGATCTATTACTATCAGAGCATGATATTTGACATTTTGGTTTCTACTTGAATGTAGCAAAACTTCACTGGAATATGTAACATAAAAGATCTAAAATATTTCAAGAATAATGTATTTATTATTTGTCACACTGTTACTGTAACATAAGAATAATGTAGGAAGCAGTTTTAGTGGGGAATAAATTGAAGTTAAACACTCAGTGTTCTAGTTGACAGATACACACTTAGATTTAGACCTGTGCAATTTAAAAATGGTCAGAGTATTAAGCCATTGATAATGAGGTAAGTTCTCTGTGTAACAAAGAATATATCACCATTACAATGCTTTGATAAGATGCTGATGTTGAAAAAAGCATGTTTATGAATTCTAAGTACTATATCTCTACAGCTGGCATGTTTTAAATAGAAAAGATTCATTTACTTCAAAGGTAATTGGTATCCTTTAGTCTGTACAAAAGATCAGTTTCTTTTTAAATGATAAAAAATTAAGGTGGAGAAATGATGAGCTTTTTGGGAAGGTAGGGAGATGGGAGAAGAGCAACAAATGGTGTCTCTTTATAAAGGTTGTCTTGTTTTTCTAATATCATATCGTGGAATTTTTCTGAAAATAAAATTGTAGTAGTAGCAGAAAGTGAATTTATACTATAAAATGATTTTTAAACAGCCTAAGTATAAGTGCCATAAGACATGAAGTGATCTTTAATTAAAGGGGTGCTAGGCAGCACTGCTGCAGCATCTCCCAGAGTGAAAACTGGAAATCGCATCTCTCGGGAATTGTCTGTAGAATAGCTCAAATCATAAGGGTAAAGGAGAATTTATCATTATAAATGATCAGTTTATCTTCCTTTTGTTTACAGATGTGTTTGGTTGCTAGACTCAATCTCTGATATTTTGCTATTCATGTTGAACTACGGAAGCAAATATGAGAAAGCCAATCTGGGATTTTAGGGAAGGGTGGAACTTTAAAAAACATACTGTGACACATGTGTAAAACAGATGTTCTTTTTAAGTTGTATTTTATAGTACATTTGTATTTTGTGTCTTCAACAAAACTGGTACTCAGCAAATGTGAGTATAAAATTTTTATTCTTGAACCAAATTATAAGAAGCTACTGGGAGGCTGAAGTGAGAGGATTGCTTAAAACTAAGAGTTTGAGGTTGTGAATAGTCACTATGCTTGAATCTGGGCAACACAGACTCTTGTCTCAAAAAAAATTACATATATCCCCATCCATAGTGTTCAATAACCTTTCAGACAGAAGTTAAAAACAAACCTGATGTTATAATTTTACTTGGCTCATATATGCTAGTGTGGCTTTAAGGTTCCTTAATAACATATGAGTTAATGTTTATTAAGACCCCAAACAGCAACTGAAAACACTAAGAGCTACAGCCCATATTTATTTTATACTTTTTTTTGAGACAGGGCCTCACTGTTTCCCTCACTGGGTTATAGGTGCAGTGGCATTATCACTGCAGCCTCAATTCCTGATCTCTCATGATCCTCTTGCCTCAGTTTATTTTGTACTTTTTAAGGTGAGGGTTCCCATTAATATGATTAATAATTATGTCTTTCAACTTAATCTATATAGTATCCTATATAACAAAGACAGAGAAAAAGCCACTAAATACATAATGTAATACATTACAGAAATTAAACAGCACTTACCCATTCAAATATATGTAGGTAAGGGGTTAAGTAGCAGATTCTTAGCACTTAATATGCATTTAGGAATTTTCTCACCTTCAAAAAGAAATCAATTTCAAACAACAAAATTAATATTACTGTAAGTTAGATCAATCCTTACCAGTTGCAGCATCTGGTATATGAAGTCTGCTTAAGTGGTCTTTTTGTGCTTTTGCTAGCATGCATATTCTATGAAATTCTTCTTTCAGATCCCAGAAGGTCTTCTCTATATTCCCCCTAAAAACAAACCAATATTTTAAAATGAAAGGCTACAACTTTATGTTTTTTTTCATAATTGAACTTAAATAGTGACATTTTATGGACTACTAAATAATCATTGAAAAGTTAAATATTTAAAAACTACTTTAAATTTCAGGAAAACATCCTAGAAAACAACTCTGGAAAGTTGGGTGCACAGTATATGATGTTTTAATACATAAATATAGCACGGATTATCCTATCTACTTACTCATAGATCACATTGATGTTGACTGTCCTTACATTACAAAATTCAATGTACTGATTTTTGTTCTCTCTGTGTACTTCTTAAATAGAATATTAAATATTCCTCACTTTGGTGAGGTTCACATTAGGAACCATCTAATATGGCCCTAATACTGGGTCTATTGCAGCAGTAGAGGTTTGTAGAATCTAGTTTTTAGATCTAGCTCTGCTATTAACTGTATGACTTATTTAGGTCATTTAATGTATAAGGCCCTTGAATTGGTCTCTTCCAGTTCTAAAGGCTGCCTCTTTAATATAATTGCTAAAATTTTAAAATATATTTCAATATTTATAATTTTTGAGAGTTGACAAAAAAGGATGTAGAACTACCTTTCATGGAATAAAGGAATACCAAGACTCCCTGGTGACGTTTCTTTTCCAGGAGAAGAAACCTCTTGTTTTCTTACCTTAAAGATACAAAATGATTACCATTTTAAATTGCTTCTAAATTCAAATGAGACTGAGGTAACAGAAAACACAAAGCAAAATTTATTTATCTTCCTTAATGAAAAATAAGTTGAGGCAGCTTAAATATACATATATGGATACACATGTGAGTATATATACATATATATGTATAAACACAGTATATATAAATAGATTTTTTTTTCTTTAAATGTGATTAAGAAAAAAGAAAAATGATAGAAAGTGTGAAGCCATAACCACTTCTGGTAACTTCTTCCTCAATTACTATTTCCAATACTGGTAATTTAAGGATTTCTAAAATTCAACCACTAATCGAAATTGCTATACTCTGATTACCAAGTACTTCGTATAACCAGAAACTTCTGAAAAAAAATTTACCTGTGTATGTGTGTACTTCTTTTGATATTCAGTAATAATGGCCTAAATACATATATTTAAATCAATGTCTTTGTCTTTTATTATAGATTCTTTGCTGAGCAATGCAGCTGTATGAGAGGAAGAAAGTCAAAGTATAACTACTTATCATTTAACAAGCATTTGAAAGGTTTGTAAAAAATAGTGCATTATGGATTTAAGTTGTTTCAACGCAAGTTCTTGCCTTTCACTCCCACCATGTGGCTTACACTGGTATTACATTTATTCTGACATTTCAAAATCAACATTAATAAACATGTTGTAATAATCTAGTCTATGGTATATTTTTTAAAAATCTTGAATCCTAGAAAACTTGTATGTACTTTCTAAAGCTAAAAACTAAGAAATTCAGAGATTTGAAAATCTTAATATTACATAATCATTAAATATAATTCAGGTAAAACTATAATTCAAAAACCAGAAGACTTTAATATTTTATCCAATTAAGGTCATTGTAGTTATTATTAAAATGGAATATTTTAGTTTCTTTTCTTTTCTTTTCTTTTCTTGGCATCAGAGCTCACAGCAACCTCAAACTCTTGGGCTCAAAAGATCCCCTTGCCTCAGCCTCCCTAGTAGCTGGTATAGTACAGGCACCTGCCAAAACATCTGGCTAGTTTTTTCTATTTTTAGAGATGGGATCTTGCTTTTGCTCAGGCTGGTCTTGAATTCCTAAGCTCAGGCAATCCACCCTCCTCAGCCAATCACAGTGCTAGGATTCAAGCATGAGCCAGCGCACCAGCCTGCTTCATTGTTTCTTATCACCTGAGTACATCTGTCTTTATTCTTGCTTTTCAAAAGATTTCTTTCTTATGCGTTTTATGGGTTAAGACAGTGACTTGATTTCAGTTTGTTTTTCTTAAAACTAGTATCTTCTCCTATTTAAGTTATTACTCTACTTTCACAGCTTTTTCTTAATAAATACTTTAAACATATACAGTATAAGTTTATAGTAGCTTGGAATTGATAACATAAAACCTCACAAAATTCAATTTATATATATATTTTTTATATATTATATCACTAGATTGAGGTTAAATAAACATGCTTCTGTAGTTGCATAACGTCTGTCTGACAAACCCTTATTCTGGATTAAAACTGCTTCATTGAGCTTTATAAAAGAGTCACATCAGAAGACATTTTCACATTTGCAGTTTGTTTTTAAACGTGATAGACAAGGTTCTTCTATGGTGTTATGTGCAATGAGGACAACTCAGTGGATTTTGGTGTGGACTAACAAGAAAAGCAACATCTTAAAGCTAGCCAACCAGTCAGGACACTTAAGAACAATACTAAACTTTTATAAGATATCATTAAGGCTCAGTGCCTATAGCTCAAGCGGCTAAGGTGCCAGCCACAAGTACCAGAGCTGGCAGGTTCAAATCCAGCCCAGACCTGCCAAACGACAACTACAACCAAAAAAAAAAAAAAA